TTGATGGGTCGCATGTTGGCACGGCTGGTTGGCAATGATGGCTTTATGGGCCACAAAGTTGTCAATCGGTTTGGACGACGACAAGCCTGTCGCTTGTCTGATGTCCGCCAGAACCGAAATCCAACTCATTGTACTCCATTGCTGAAGTAAGCCTGTCTTGTTTCTTCAATATCTCTTCAAATGTCTTCATCCTTTTTGCATTATCACGATCTCTTGATCTTGTTTGTTCGTCCATCCTCTTTGCAGCTTTGGATCCAATCGGACGTTTACTGTTTGTGCAAACAACCGCAAAAGCAGAATGTTTGCTGCCTGGCGAAGGGGTGCCGTCACTTTCACTGCTCTGATGGCTCACATTGAACCTGCAATGTATCTTCAGCTCAGGAACACAGTGACAAAACTTGAACTCTTCATTTTTATGCTTGATTCTCCACATCTCGGCAATTCGTTTATCCAAATCTTCTTGGCTCAATCCAGATGGCTTGTTCCTTTCACATTGGAGTTCATATCCAATCCACTCATCAATAGCACCCTTAATCCTTTGAAAACGCTTCATCAAGGAATTATGGGACCAATAAGGTAGTGCAGGAGCGGGATCTTCTTCCATTTTCATCTTGAACTTGTTCTCGATGTCCTTCCAGAAATCTTCTCTTCTCTGATCAGAACCTTTGATTGGATTTTCAGAGCAGTTGACAAAGGCAGCACAGAGGGCCTTGTCCTCTTCCTGGGAATAGTTTGGTACACCACGAACCATCTTGTTTTGTTATGTTGTAGCAGATGTGTCGGGTATGTGGCAAAAGTGTCGTCATTGGTCAAGGATTTAAATTTTTTATGTTCGCATTTGTCTCATTTTCCACCCTATTCGTGGTTTGATTGGTTTAAAAAAATCTAAGAATCTGAGACAAAGTCGAGCAAAAAGTCACAGATTGGGGATTTTTTTCTGATTTGGGAACAGATCCCAGATTTTTCCCAGACCAGATCGAACGGTAGTGAGGGTAAAATCTCAGATTATCCAGAATTAGTCCCTAAATCTGGGAATTTGTGTCACGGTAGTGACTGCTCTTAGTCTCCAAATCTTGTAGGTAACAACTATCTGAGATACTGCTGGAGTTGGATTTCGGTTCTGGCGGACATCAGACAAGCGACAGGCTTGTCATCGTCCAAACCGATTGACAACTTTGTGGCCCACAAAGCCATCATTGCCAACCAGCCGTGCCAATATGCGACCCATCAAGTCGTCATGCAGAGGCACCGACCATAGCGATCTCCAATCCGTCTAATAGGAAATAATCATCTCTACAGGAAATAACTATTCTAAAAGACTTGTTATCTACATGGAATGGGCAAAGCAAAAGCCTTGCGCGAAAACTCAAATTTCCCAAACCTTTACTGGATGTTTGCAATCCAGAAAGGCCGGTACAAAACCCACGTACAGAACTCCCGCAGGATTCAGTATGGGATTTTCGTGGCGCTCAGACGTTTGATAGTCCAAGCACACAATTCCATGTTTTCAGATTCCCTGCAAAAACCGACTCATAGGAATCCCCCGAATAAAACGGACCAAACGAACATTTGTCCGTCTGTCCGATCGGACGTGTCGAACTGCTTCCATCAAGGAGTTTCCAATGAATGGTCTCCAAGAGAGCAATTTCAACACGCTCCTAACTCTGAAGATCAGAGTAGGAGAGACGTCCAAAAGCGTGATGTTCAGCTGGAACATCACATGAGCTGCACCCGTGTACACACCCATTTGACAACTTTGTGGCCCATAAAACCATCATTGCCAACCAGCCGTGCCAACATGCGACCCATCAAGTCGTCATGCAGAGGCACCGACCATAGCGATCTCCGATCCGCCTAATAGGAAATAATCATCTCTACAGGAAATAACTATTCTAAAAGACTTGTTATCTACATGGAATGGGCAAAGCAAAAGCCTTGCGCGAAAACTCAAATTTCCCAAACCTTTACTGGATGTTTGCAATCCAGAAAGGCCGGTACAAAACCCACGTACAGAACTCCCGCCACACTGGGGCCAGAACCGAAATCCAACTTTATCTACATGGATCGGACGTGTCGAACTGCTTCCATCAAGGAGTTTCCAATGAATGGTCTCCAAGAGAGCAATTTCAACACGCTCCTAACTCTGAAGATCAGAGTAGGAGAGACGTCCAAAAGCGTGATGTTCAGCTGGAACATCACATGAGCTGCACCCGTGTACACACCCATTTGACAACTTTGTGGCCCATAAAACCATCATTGCCAACCAGCCGTGCCAACATGCGACCCATCAAGTCGTCATGCAGAGGCACCGACCATAGCGATCTCCGATCCGCCTAATAGGAAATAATCATCTCTACAGGAAATAACTATTCTAAAAGACTTGTTATCTACATGGAATGGGCAAAGCAAAAGCCTTGCGCGAAAACTCAAATTTCCCAAACCTTTACTGGATGTTTGCAATCCAGAAAGGCCGGTACAAAACCCACGTACAGAACTCCCGCCACACTGGGGCCAGAACCGAAATCCAACTTTATCTACATGGATCGGACGTGTCGAACTGCTTCCATCAAGGAGTTTCCAATGAATGGTCTCCAAGAGAGCAATTTCAACACGCTCCTAACTCTGAAGATCAGAGTAGGAGAGACGTCCAAAAGCGTGATGTTCAGCTGGAACATCACATGAGCTGCACCCGTGTACACACCCATTTGACAACTTTGTGGCCCATAAAACCATCATTGCCAACCAGCCGTGCCAACATGCGACCCATCAAGTCGTCATGCAGAGGCACCGACCATAGCGATCTCCGATCCGCCTAATAGGAAATAATCATCTCTACAGGAAATAACTATTCTAAAAGACTTGTTATCTACATGGAATGGGCAAAGCAAAAGCCTTGCGCGAAAACTCAAATTTCCCAAACCTTTACTGGATGTTTGCAATCCAGAAAGGCCGGTACAAAACCCACGTACAGAACTCCCGCAGGATTCAGTATGGGATTTTCGTGGCGCTCAGACGTTTGATAGTCCAAACCCACAATTCCATGTTTTCAGATTCCCTGCAAAAACCGACTCATAGGAATCCCCCGAATAAACGGACCAAACGAACATTTGTCCGTCTGTCCGATCGGACGTGTCGAACTGCTTCTATCAAGGAGTTTCCAATGAATGGTCTCCAAGAGAGCAACTTCGTGTGGCAAATTCGGGCATTTCGAAACCGAAACCGCCAAACCCGACTATAGGTTGTGAAACACGCGCTAATTAGTGATGACGCGGTAAAACTGAAAACTGTTTTCAGATGGGGATATCCTGGAAATCCCGGGGGAAAAAGGGAACTTTTAGGGAACTTTTAGGGAACCTTGAGAGAATTTTTACGGAACTTTTGGGAGATTAATTGAGACTCCCCAAATGCTATCCCTGGTTTCCCATCTCGCAAAGAAACTGTTACTTTTCAAATTGTGAATTATTGTTATGCCATTGGCATCGGTTTTGGACAATCCAATGCTATCAGCAAGGGCACTCTTCACTGTCAATAGCCTACAATGAATACTGGAGCGACTGACAATGCTGGACAATAGTAGTTGAAGGATTGGAGAACCAGCGATGCAAAAAAGAGCCCAAGAAACCTATCAAGGACAGTGCTGGAGAGACATCTTCAAAAACATGGACCCAAACCATGTCTACTTGCAGATGGGCAATGGCGTCTTGTTTAGAACAAGGTCTTTGTCTTCGTTCACTGGATGGTCACATCTATTATTCAAGAAACCGACAACCCCAAAGTTCTCAAGTTCAAGATTTGGGCTAGACTTCAGCGGCAGGAGAACTTCAACGAGAGATTGAAACGTTTTGACACTATTGGAACTTGTTTTTGTTATACTATGGACAAGCATGAAGTCGTTTACACTGACTTTCTCGTTTTGATTCGATACAATATTGAGAATGGCCGTCCTTTGAATAGCGTCATCTACTATAGTGCAATTCTCTATTATTTGTATGGTTTGTCTTTTGAGGGAATATTGTTTCGCAAAAGTTCCCTGAAAGTTCCCTAAAAGTTCCCTGAAAGTTCCCTAAAAGTTCCCTAAAAATTCCCTAAAAGTCCCTGAAAGTTCCCTATGTACCCGGGAAATTCCCTAAAAGTACCCGGGAAGTTCCCTAAAAATCCCCGGGAAGTTCCCTAAAAATCCCCATGAAGTTCCCTAAAAGTTCCCTTTTTCTTTCGGGTGTCCGTCCGGACAAACGGGTCATGTTATAACGTTCGTCTTTTCCGCGCGGAAACACGAAATTTTGATGATCGGAGAATCTCGAAATACACGTTTTTACCACACAGTCCTGGCGCCTTCCGCTTGGTGTTCGTCTTGGATCTGTCTGCATGGAGTCTGACCGGGAGCGGCCTAGCTAGAAGCGAACTTATATCGAAGAAAAAAACGTGCAGCCTGCACACGGATTTGCAGGGAGGGGGAAAAACGCGTTAAAACTGCAGGTGTTGGCTAGCGAAGGACGGACTGATCGGAACGCCCAAGTACGTATGCAAAGAAGGTACAGTAGCAGGACAGTGGAAAGCTACGTACCAAAGAGGTTGTGAAAGAAGTTGGTGAATGAGCTGCAGCTCTATATATATAACTGAATCATTAATTGGTATTTATGCTACTTCTAGAGTATCCAACTGCCAGTGTAATAGGTACACCAGGAACTAGGTTGCTTTTGGTCAACAAAGTTTGAACCATGTGGAGGCGTTCAATTGAGGAACGTTGCTTGTAAGTCGAAAGTGTCAAGGGACGATCGGCTCTCCCACACGAGGTGGGGTGGAGAATATGTATGTGTTAGACTGGGGTACGTGTGGCTTGTGATGTACCGGTGTTGAAATTGCTCTCTTGGAGACCATTCATTGGAAACTCCTTGATGGAAGCAGTTCGACACGTCCGATCGGACAGACGGACAAATGTTCGTTTGGTCCGTTTATTCGGGGGATTCCTATGAGTCGGTTTTTGCAGGGAATCTGAAAACATGGAATTGTGGGCTTGGACTATCAAACGTCTGAGCGCCACGAAAATCCCATACTGAATCCTGCGGGAGTTCTGTACGTGGGTTTTGTACCGGCCTTTCTGGATTGCAAACAAAAACGGAAAGGTCTCCACGGTGCGGCTGATGTTGGATCCAGCGCTGCGACCGCTCCTTCTTTCGTCCAAGCTTCTTGCGCTGAGGAAAGACCGCCTCTGTGGGTCAGTTCCATGGCGACTGTCCGCTCTTGGCCCTTCTTGGATCTTGGAAATACAACAATCAGCTCATACAACCGTTACAAAACGCTTACCATTCTCCCCACCCTTTTTTCCATGTAGATAAAGTTGGATTTCGGTTCTGGCGGACATCAGACAAGCGACAGGCTTGTCGTCGTCCAAACCGATTGACAACTTTGTGGCCCATAAAGCCATCATTGCCAACCAGCCGTGCCAACATGCGACCCATCAAGTCGTCATGCAGAGGCACCGACCATAGCGATCTCCAATCCGCCTAATAGGAAATAATCATCTCTACAGGAAATAACTATTCTAAAAGACTTGTTATCTACATGGAATGGGCAAAGCAAAAGCCTTGCACGAAAACTCAAATTTCCCAATCCAACTTTGTGGCCCATGAAGCCATCATTGCCAACCAGCCGTGCCAACATGCGACCCATCAAGTCGTCATGCAGGGGCACTGACCATAGCGATCTCCGATCTGCCTAATAGGAAATAATCATCTCTACAGGGATACCCCTCGGTTTGGTGTGAAAAACATTTCGGTTGGGACGCGGGAAGAATTTTTGCACCCCTGCAGCACGGGGTTACCAAATTCTAGCTCAACAATTCCTTCGAAATCCCATCATTTAAGGGGATCCTAACTATTTCAGGGTCAAAAAATAATATTTATAGTTTATTTCTCCGAAAACATTTCGTGATTGATTAACGACAAAACTTTGTCGTAATTTTTGTCGTAGTTTGTCGTAATTTTTGTCGTAGTTTGTCGTAATTTTTGTCGTAATTTTTGTCGTAAATTCTCACCATCAACTGAGCTGTTACGACAAAATTTATGACAAAATTTACGACAAAATTTACGACAAAATTTACAACAGAACTAAAAAAGTAGAGAGAATTCTTGGCTCGCGCGCAAGCATGACGTGAAACAAATCAATCGAAATGAGCCACAGTGTTGCCTTTTCAAGTGAGGCCTGCAATATCAAATATTTTAAAATACTGTAGTTCAAGTCTAATTTATTTCATATATCCCAATTTAATTAAACATCCGAATCTGGGTAATGATCACCAGTATTTGCGGGGAAAATTGGATGTCCATGATCCATAGCATACTGAACAAGCACAGCAACTGCCTCCAGCACAAACACATGGTTCTTCGGATCATGATGATAAGTCGCATCAAGGATTCGAAAGTCCTTCAATCTTCCATTCAAACTCTCTTGTCTTGCTCGCAACTTGGATTTGAATTCGAATAGGGGTCCAGGATCAGCAAGGCTGGGGAGGGCAAGCTTTGCGTTGTTGCCTGCCGTCTTTTTGTCAGTGTAGACTCTGTCACAGACAACAACTTTTCCTTCTGGAACCTTTTCCCGTAGCCCTCCATCTTCTGCAAAGATTTCCCGATCACCCATAGCACCCCTCTTTGGTCCGCTTACCCATACGATCTTGGCCTCATATGCATCGATCCCAATCTCATACTTGAGTGCACCATGTTTGTACTTGTGGCTCATAGCTTTTGGGTCCATGTTGCTGTCGTTTGTTGACTTCTCCCATGTTCGAAAATCGACACCGTCCACAGTCAAAAGGATAAACCTGTCGCTTCTCTTGTATTCTTGCTCTGGCCAGATAATAACTTTGACCTTGAGTCCCGCGATTATCTTCACCCAATACCAAAGTTTTTCACCTTCGACCTGTCCCTTCTTCACATATTTTCCAGCAAAAATCTGGATCATCTCGCCTTTGAGAGCGTGTAAATCTACCATCTTTTATCTTATGATGATTGTTGCATGGTATTTTTCCTCCGCCGTGCTGGGTATGTGTACTTGTTGACAATGAAACGGAGTTGTTGGTGTTTTCAACATGAAAGTATTTGAAATTCTCTCGGTCATCGCTAATGTTGAAACGAAGGGTCGGCGTGCGCGCAAAGGTAGATTTTGTTGTAGATTTTGTCGTAAATTTTGTCGTAAATTTTGTCGTAGTGTTGTCGTAATTTGTTGTAGGTTTGTCGTAATTTGTGGTAGCTTGTCGTAAGTCGTCGTAAGTTGTCGTAAATATTTTACGACAAAATTTACGACAAAATTTACGACAAAAGACTTGTCGTTAATTATAGCTCCACTGTTTCGGAGAAATAAAACAATGTTTTGCCCCCTAAATAATTCTATGTCCCCGTAAATGATGGAGGAATTCGATGGAACAAAGTGGAGCTTGAATCCGATGCCTCCGTGCTGAGGGGGGAGGAAAAGTCTGTCTGTCTCCCGTCACACTTTGGTTTCACTACAATCCGAGGTGTGTCCCAGGAAATAACTATTCTAAAAGACTTGTTATCTACATGGAATGGGCAAAGCAAAAGCCTTGCACAAAAACTAAAATTTCCCAAACCTTTACTGGATGTATGCAATCCACAAAGGCCGGTACAAAACCCACGTACAGAACTCCCGCAGGATTCAGTATGGGATTTTCGTGGCGCTCAGACGTTTGATAGTCCAAACCCACAATTCCATGTTTTCAGATTCCCTGCAAAAACCGACTCATAGGAATCCCCCGAATAAACGGACCAAACGAACATTTGTCCGTCTGTCCGATCGGACGTGTCGAACTGCTTCCATCAAGGAGTTTCCAATGAATGGTCTCCAAGAGAGCAATTTCAACACCTATGCCTCTAGTCTAAAAAAGATAAAAGGACTTTTATTTGAATCCTACTGAGAGGGCTATAATACACAGACAGGCCTATGCCTCTAGTCTTAAAAAGATAAAAGGACTTTTATTTGAATGTTAATTCCAGTATCTATTTGTTGTTACCTGGATTGAATGAGCATTGCAGCTCATACAATCCAGTGGCTACTTCGATTTACCTATTTACTAGTTTTTTCTTATGTGCGGGACCAAGCGACTCTGGTCTGGCAATCCCACCTGCGAAACCGCGAACGCGGTCTGCCCATGTCACCGTTGGTCTGGTCATTTTGGTCATATTCTCGCCGTCCGTACGTTGTCCGCCAGCTCCAAAAATACTACTTCCAACTCAGGAGCGCCATGCCACAATTTGTCCCCTCCAGTTAAGAAGTGATCTTTAGTGGCACATGCCGCCTCCATGTTTTTGCGGAAAAACAGGAGCGCTAGCGCTGAGTCCTCGAAGATCACTGGCTGCACACCACATACCAATCTACCGTTTTGGTGTGCCTGTCCATTGGCAACATGGGTGTGTACACGGGTGCAGCTCATGTGATGTTCCAGCTGAACATCACGCTTTTGGACGTCTCTCCTACTCTGATCTTCAGAGTTAGGAGCGTGTTGAAATTGCTCTCTTGGAGACCATTCATTGGAAACTCCTTGATGGAAGCAGTTCGACACGTCCGATCGGACAGACGGACAAATGTCCGTTTTGGTCCGTTTATTCGGGGGATTCCTATGAGTCGGTTTTTGCAGGGAATCTGAAAACATGGAATTGTGGGCTTGGACTATCAAACGTCTGAGCGCCACGAAAATCCCAGACTGAATCCAGCTCATACAATCCAGTGGCTACTTCGATTTACCTATTTACTAGTTTTTTCTTATGCGCGGGACCAAGCGACTCTGGTCTGGCAATCCCACCTGCGAAACCGCGAACGCGGTCTGCCCATGTCACCGTTGGTCTGGTCATTTTGGTCATATTCTCGCCGTCCGTACGTTGTCCGCCAGCTCCAAAAATACTACTTCCAACTCGCTCCTGAGATGTCGGGCAAGTCAAGGAAGGATCTTCCACGGGTGGTACTGGCGTGATGCCCATTACCATGTCGCGGAAGCGTGTGTACAAGCTGCCTTGTTGTGGCTTGGAGAAGAAATCTGCCAGCATGTCCTCCGTGGGACAATAGAGCAGGTGAATGTCACCTCGCTTAATGCGATCCTTAATAAAGAAAAATCTGATGTCTATGTGTCGCGATCTTTTGCTCGCAGACTGTCTACCATTCTTTTCTAAACGCATCGCGCTTTCATTATCTTGATAGTAATATCTCCTGCGTGTACGTATGCCTTGGTGTTCCAGGAAGTTCATAGTCCAGATAGTTTGTCCGAGACAGTCACTGGCGCCGACGGTTTCCGACTCCGTCGTGCTTGTTGTATTGAGCTTCTGTTTCATGGAACGTGCATACAAAGCGCCTTTGCCCATGGATATCATGTTTCCTGTGTGAGACTTGAAATCTTCGTGTACCGCGAAGGCCACGTCGACCCATGTCTTCACTATCGTTAAATCATCGATCTTGATTGTTAGAGGCATGTCTATTGTGTTGTTTAAATATGAGAGAACCCTTCGGAGTTTCTCCCAATCTTCTACAGAGGCCTTTTGCACCCGTCCTGTCAGAAATGCGATTGGGACCATAATGTCTGGTCTGCATCGCTTCGTGACCCATAGTAGTTTCTGCACCAGGGA